AAACAACCTAATATACTCAGCTTTCGTTGGCTATTAGAATTGCAAACATGCATTACAAGGTTCAAGATTCAATTGTTCACAATAAACCATAACTCAGCTTTCGTTGGCTATGATCTATTGCTCACCAAATACTAGTTTTGAGATCTAGATTCAGCACTGTCGTGGTTCTATTTCTCTAAGATCAGATTACTAGATGTACGGTAGAGTAATCATGCATTAAGCTCAAGTAAAGGTGAAGATCCATAAGATAAATCCCAATAAGTTGCAACACAATCAAATCATCACGGCCACCATAGATCTCCTCGGCCTAACTAAGAGATCTACTCGGCCATGATGCAAACAAGCAAGCAAAGCATGATTGTAAACATTATGCAAGTATTAAAAGAGATAAAGGGATGAAGAAAGCTTCTCTATTGATGAAACAAAGTCGGATTCTCCCTTGAAAACTCTTAAGATCAAGTTTATAGAAATGGAAACAATGAAAAAGAAAGAACAAGAGTTGAGCGGCGCCTCCTTCTTCTTGGACGATCTCCTAGGGCTTCTCTCTCTTCTCTCTTCTCTGACTCTCTTTAAACTCACACCGATCTCTTCTTCAGCGGCTAAAAACATGTATATATGGGCGAAGTCGCGTAGGGTTTTCTTCATGCCGGAAAAGGAAAGTTTCCCATGAGCCGAGCCTTCTTCTCCACGTCGTGTATGGGCCGACATTGTACCAAGGAAAGCTCCAAACATTAGCCAGGCCTCTTCTCTTTCGATCAAGGCCTTTGGCGCTGCTGCTCGGGCCATTAGACACTCCAAATCCTCCATGGGCTTCGTTTACTCGCTTACCGGACATGTCTCGGTAGAAAATAAGTCTAGGCCTCATAGTTGATCCAAATGGCTTCATTCCACTTCGACGTGATGCATGACTCAAGTATCTATCTTTCCATATCAAGATCGTAACTTTTGGACGTCGGGAACTCCTCCGCGCGCGGCCAAACTTCCGAAGCTTCGTTCTGCGCGCAGCGAGAACTAACACTTGGAGATAAAATGATCTTCTTGACTTGGAAACTTGCATGGATCTTGGTTTAGGACTCTTTTACTCCTTTTTGCATCCTTTTTGATGGTTTCACCTACAAGACTTCAAATCCCACAAATACAAGAAAACTACCTCTAAAGGCAAAGAATCTTGCAAAAACCGTTTGAAAACATAATAGTTATATAGTAAAATCATGTAAAATATGGTGATATCAACTCCCCCAGACTTAGCCTTTTGCTTGTCCCCAAGCAAACTAAGCAGGAAAAGAGGTTTGAAAACGTGAGAACTCTCAAATCTTTTGGAAATCCAAATTGACTTATGCTTTAGTAATCCACATGAAACAGCATTGGCAAAGTTTTGAATTAAGAACAAAGTACATACCATGAGTTTTGCGATTTTCCCAAAGCGGTCCACCTCTCCTTGGACAATCCAATTCGCCACCCTTGACTCCTTTCATTTCTAAAGGTGTGGTCTCAACTAGGGAGTATCGATCAGCCGGCTTTTAGATTCTTTCTCATCCCCTTGTTTGGCACTTGTCTTTTTACTCCATGTTTCTCCTCTCTCTCTTCTCACTTCCTCAAGTTGATTCATCCTTTTTTTAGGGTAGCAAGTATTTTTTTTATTCAACTTCTTCTCTTTATTATAGAGGTTTTTCTTGACCTTCCATAGACGCGAGTATTGATGGTGTTTGCCACCGAATCCCCGGTTACTTGGATCCATAGGCCTTTCATAGACGCGAGAATTGATGGTGTTTGTGATATGCCTCTATTTTAACCCGTTCCATACCAAAGCATCAACTTTTAGAAGGCCTTAAAAACAATCTACTCAATGGATTTCATCAAGACCACTTCGCCGCGTGCTCTGAGTGAGTTAACTTTCTAACGCAAGTGGATTGGCATCATTTGGATGAGTAGAAATGAAGTTATGATCAATTTAGTGAAGACTGGTCCAGACGGCTTAACCGAGCAACCGCGTTCCAACCGCGCGTACCGGCCGACGAGGAACTATCGTCCCACGATCGACCCACGCAGATAGTCCGCGTTCCATCCCGCCTAGTTGCACGGCCGAGCTCACGTACCGACCCGGGAAGCATCGTCCCGCGGTCGACCCGTCCAAGTCTCGCCACCATAAGCCGCGCACGACCGCACCGCGCCGAACAGGGAGGCATCGCTCTATGCCCGTTCCGACCACTCGCCACAATCGTGCTGCGCACGATCACACCGTCCGACCAGGAAGGCATCGTCCCGCGTCCGGGCCAAAACCTTGACCAAAACCATCCGTCCGGCCGAACCCGACGACCGAACGACGAATCCCTCGGCCACGATCGACCCGATCGTACCGATGGCCGATCATCACCCGATAGCCGGCCGAACGTCCGAACGGTCCGGTCGACCCGAAGCCCGTTTTGAAGCCCGTTTCACACGTTTTCACGCCCGACTTAACCTAATGCCGCCTCTGAAGACCTAGTACTATAAATACAACTTTTTAGCCTCTTGAGAGAGAGAGCCGCATATTGTATCACGTTTTACACTTAGAGTTTTGTTCTGAGATTTCAAGGAGAAGATCTCTCCTCCTCACTTCAATTTGGAGAAGTTTTCTATGTGTTATTGCTTTGATCATGTCTGAGTAATCCACTAGTTAGGTTGCTAGGGTTACTAATCAATGAGTTGCTTGCATGATCTTTGATTTCGATGTTTAGCTAGGGATTATCTTAGAGTCTTTGTCTCGTCTTGTCACTTAATAATGCTGATTGCTTTACCGCGCATCTAGTAATCCGATCTTAGGTTGATTTGAGCCTCGAAAGTGTTGTATCATTCGCCGGACATATTCTTTGACAAGCTAGGTTTCTTAGACTGCGAAAGTTGATTTACTATAACCTAGTGAACTGTATCGGAACCGCTCGATCTAATGCTTGATTTAATCACCTAGGGACATACCAAAAGTTTAGCGACTAGGTAGATTAACAAAGGAACCGGAGCCTCGAAAGTGGAATGGTTTTATATTCGTGATCTGTGTTCTAGACGGTTTTAATATCCCAATATCCCTAATCAATTCATCTATCATTGTTTCATTGATCATTGCTTGCTTCTCTGCGATTAGCCCCTGTTGACCTAGCGCTTCTTCCCATTGATTTACAACTCGTTTACTTGCTAGTTTAGTTACAATTACAACCTCTCAATCATACTTTTGTTTTAGCTTGATCCAAAATCCATAGTTTCAAAGTGTACTCAATAGCCAGTCCTTGTGTTCGATACCCATACTTCCGCGATCTGTGCACTTGCAGAGGTCTAAAGAGTTTGGTAAAACCTGACTCACATCAAGTTTTTGGCGCCGTTGCCGGGGACTGCAGCAGTACCTTTGAATCTCGACTAGGATCTAGTCTAGAATCTTTAATTTTCTTGCTTGTTTTTGCTTTTGAATTTTCTAGTTTTTGTTTCTTTTCTTTTGAATTTTGTTTTTGCTTTTGTTTTTCCCTTTTGATTTAGTTTGTTTCCTAGATCTTTTCAGGTGCATGACTAGGAAGTCTAACAAAGACAACCTAGTTGAACATCCGGAGATAGACAAGCTTGAGAAGACACTTAGGAGCAAAAAGCTCAAGAGATGGCCGACGAAGCAGCTCGTGCGCTCATGCCGCTGAGGTAGCTCGAGCTAATGAAGAAGGAAGAGATCCACCTCCTCCTCCTAATCCACAAGATCCTGCTGGGGACGTTAATGTGCAACCTCAAGCGACGTTCAAACAATCGGAGACTATGACTCTGCCGATGCTTTCTTCACGGATAGAAACCCTATCCATCCACCACTTCCTGCAAGGAATGACTATGAGATCAAGCCTCAGATCATAGCATTGGTTAGACAGAACCAATTCAATGGCCTTCCAGCCGAACATCCTCTTGATCACATAGAAAACTTTGAAGAGATTTGCAGCACTACTAGATCCAATGGAGTCTCAGCTGACTACTTGAAGTGCAAGCTCTTTTCATTCTCTCTTGGCGACAAAGCTTCAAGATGGTTGAAGTCTCTGCCAGCTCACTCCATCACCACTTGGGATGAGTACAAGGCCGCTTTCATCAACCACTTCTACACCAAGCAAAGATCAGTTTCTGTAGGAACAAGATCTCCAACTTTCGCCAAGCCACTAATGAATCTTTCTATGAGGCGCTAGACCGATTCAAGGAGTACATTAGGGACTGCCCTAATCATGGTTTCAAGGAGGGAAACCTATGGAATATCTTCTATCGTGGCATAGACCACAAGTACAAGCTTTCATTGGATACTGCAAGCAATGGAAACTTCATGACCAAGACAATTGATGAAGCTAAGGTTCTTATTGAGAATCTTGCAGCTAGTGATTGTAACAATTGTCCTGATTATGATCGCTCAAGCACCACCACAACTCCCCTGATGTTTCTCAAATGGCTGAACTCAAGAACATGATGGCTCAAGTTCTTAAGGGACAGCTCAAGCATATCAATGCAATAGAAGGGATGAGTGATGCGAATGAAGACCCATCAAGAGAGTGCATGGGAGATTTCTCTAATGAAGCTAATGAAGAAGATGTGAACTACATTGGAAACTATGGGAACAAGGGATACAATCCAAGCTATCGCCCAAACCCCAACATGTCTTATAGAAACCCCAATGTGGAGAACCCTCAAGACCAAGTGTATCCTCCAAGATACCCACAACAACAAAGACCTCCTTACCAATCTCAAGGAAGTCAATTTCAGCCAAGGCAAGGGTATGATCAGCGAGCATCATATCCGCCCAAGGAGCCATATGCTTCTTCACCAAATCAAGCTCCTCCAAACCAACAAGGAGGAAGATTTGAAGGAATCCTCCAACAGATCATGGATGGCCAGAAAAGGAATAGCAAAGAGATGTATGAGAAGATGGACACTTTGTTCAGCAATCTCAACACCAAGTATGATGCTGTTGCCACTCATGTGAAGAAACTAGAAACTCAAGTCACCCAAACCATGGAAGCTGTTAAGAGACAGGAAGCTGAATCCAAGAAGTCCTTTTGCAACTCAGCCGCCATAGAAGAAGGAAGATTTGAAGATCAAGTACCAGAATGGATGCTTTCAAAACCTACTGTTGATTGCATGATTTGGCCTGAAGAGATATACCCAGAGAAGGAGTCCAATCGAGCTAGGAAAGAAGACTCTTTCCAAAGATCATTCCCAAGACTGATAACTCAGGGAAGTTTGTTGTTCCTTGTATCATCAAAGGCATATTCTTGAGAATCTTTATGTGACACAGGAGCAATGTCAACATCATGTCTAAGAGGATAGCTGACAAGATCTCACCAAGATCAGCCATCATCCATCTCCATCAACTATGCTGATTCATTCTCACAAACCCCTATGGCTTTGTGCCTAATGTGATGGTGCAGATCGGAAATTGCTCTATCCTACCGACTTTCAATTGTGGAAGATGAGAGAGAGTAGCCATAGACCTCTCATATTTGGTACCCCTTTCCTGTCTACTGTGGGCGCCATATTTGATTTCCCAAATCAAAGAATCTCTTTCAACAAGGTGAACAAGGGTATGTTTTTCCCTATGTGTTCAACAAGAAACTCTTTTGTTGACATGGTTCAAGAGGAGAAAGCTACTCTAGAGCCACCCAAAGAAGGAGAAACTGAAGATTCAATCAAGGAAGATCCCATTCCTATGCCCAAGCAGCTTGCCACTCAAGCAAGGAGTAAGACTAAGGCACCTAAACCAAAACCGCCCAAGGGATCATCCAAGATTGAGATGAAGCCAACCAAGAAGGAAGTAAGGAAAGCCTCGATCTGGCCCAACCTGAAGCTTCTCTTCCCAAAGGAGCTTATTGATGAGAATCTAGAAGGATTCAAGGAGAAAGTTACAAGAACTCTACAACTTTTTCCTAAGGCATTGTGCCAAGGGACATTCATGGAGAGATTGTCTATCCAGCTGTGAATCACCCACCAGATACTCATTGTGAGGAGAAAAGACTTGGAGGATCAAGGATGCCTCTAATCTCCATCTTCTCCTGAGCACAAGCCTTACAGTCAAGCTAAAGACTTAAAACAAGCGCTGCATGGGAGGCAACCCATGAGGTACTTTTACTTTTCTTTCTTTAAATTTCTTAGTTTTTGTTTTGTTTTTGTGTTTTCTTTGTTTTAAGATAGGATAGAAGGAGAAAAAGTGTGAAAAACACAATCCGGGTCGAAAACATCGGCCGCGGACGCGCAAGTAAAAGCTGGCCGAGAAATTCCAACCGGACCGACCGTACCGGTCGACCCGGGGAAGAACGGACCATGCTCGGCGACAATACCACCGCGTGACAACTCGTCCGAGCAGCACGCACGGACAGGAAGGGAACAGCCGCACTCGGCCAAGAAGAGAAATGGACGGACCGACCGTACCGGTCGATCCGGGAAGCGTACGCTTTCCCTCGGCCAATTTCACGTTCGACCGAGAACTCGGCCGACCGTACCGCACGATGGGACGAAAACCATCGACCAAATTCTCTCGGCCAAGGTAAGTAACCTTTTCATTAATTCAAACCGGTTTTAACCAATCCTAAACCGAATTAAACCGATTTTCAATAAATTCGAATTTGAAAAGGAATTATAATTGGACTTTGAGCTTTATAACTTTACCTTTCCCTTGAAAAGAACAAGAACCTCTCTTTCTTCTCTAAAACCCTAAACTCCATTAGAGGAGCTCTAAAAGCTTTGTTTACAAAACTTTTACTGTTCATAATTTAAACTTGGATTTGCTTGCTCTTTCTTCCATTATTCACTTTTCAACACAAAGGTATGATTTCTACTCTAAATCTCATTTTTGCAAGATCGAAATTCACAATATTTCTTGTTTAGTTTAAACTCTTGTCTAAACTTGAAATTACCATTCTTATGAGTCTTGTATTGAACTTAGCTAGGTGGAACCTAGGTGGTTTAGAGAATTTAGAGTTTAATTTCACAATTGAATAGTTTTTCACAAAACTTATTGGGTATTCCAAACCCTTTATTCAAAAGTGAAATTGCTTAGTCATACTTCAATTCATTAGTTTATCTATTGATTACATGGATTAGAAACTCAATTTCTCTTGATTTGCTAAAAATTTCGATTTTATGCACTATAATCTTGAGATGAACAGTAAAATCCGAAATTAATTTTGAAAAGTAAAAATTCCAATTTGTTTCTTTGATCTTGATTAAGCCTTGAGTTGTTTCATTATGAAATCATTATTGCAACTCAATTGCTTATCTTTCTTATGCATTTTAACCACAAACTCATGTCTTTTCCCCAAGAATTTGCTCTTGAAGGTACCCAATGGCAAGGACAAAAGGAAGTGAGACCATGAAGAAGAAAGATCCATTCATGCAACCACCAAGGAAACAAATCAAGCTAGGGAGCAGCAACACCACCCTCACCACATTCCATTGATGCAAGACAAGATCATGTGGAAAATTCAAGAGGAGAAGATGATTGGACACTTGTAAACTTTGTTGGAGAACAAGTCCAAGACCAAATAAAGTACAAGAAGGCAATGGAGAGGGTGAACATCGAACCTTGTGTGAAGATGGACACTCCAAACCTTGATCTTTTCAAGATAAGAGATGATGTTACATGGTATCTAAGGAAGCTTGGCTTGAGCAAGCTTTTCAAAATAGAGTGCAGCGAATACTCATTGCTTACTAAGGAGTTCCTCTCCACAGTCTATCTAGCCTTTCCCAACAACAATGGAGACCAACCAGCTGGTGATGGACTCTTACTCTTCAAGATAGGCGACACCAATGGGCGCATCTCAATTTCAGCTCTATGCCAACTCTTTGGATTTCCAAATGAGACAGCCCATGACTTCAAATAGAACTCAACAAGGAAGCAAGCTGCCTATGCTGATTGGACACACTTTGCCAATGAACCATTCCTGCCCTCAAGATCAAAGGTGTATAGAATCACTCATCCAGCAATTCGCTATGTGCACCGCCTCATCTCAAGCACCTTTCAATGCAAGCAAGAAGCCAACAAAGTCACAACTGATGAGTTCTACATCCTCACCACGCCATTCATCAAGCATGAACACAAGGCCAACCTTGGTCTTTTGTTTGCAAAGACACTCATCAATGTGAGGCATCTAGCTCAAGACTTGGAAAGCAACAAGAAGCTTTGTGTGCGATTTGGGAGACTCATCACAGCCATAGTGCAGCATGTGGGAATCACCATTCCCAACTATGAGCCACTACCCAACCCAACCCCATTGGATCTTCATGCCCTTCAGCAAATTCACTTCCTAAACCGTTGGACTTAAAACCCAACCAAGTTTTGCTATGAGTTCCCAATTGGACCAACCAACACCTCGCTTGTCTTGCTGCCACATGAAGACATTCCAAGCCTTACGCTCAGGTGTTGTCACTTTCCAACCCAAGGAGGAAGACTTCTACATCCCATCAAGAGAGAACCATCACTTCCCATCCTCACATACCGCACACTTCAGCGCACAGTCAAAGCTCAACGCCGCCACCAAGAACGCCATGTTCTCAGCACTGGAATGGCAGCAAACCAAGCCCTAGACCGTGTGAGCAAGCTGGAGAAGATTGTGGAGTGCCAATCACGTTTCATCTCACGCTTAGTTCGTGTAGTCCGCCACATTGCACCGGAGAGACTCTTTCGCCCTTCTCTCACTGCTAGAGAACCATATGAGTCTGACCTTGGTGAGTTCTCACTTGACTTAGAGCTTGGTTCAGAAGGCGACGACCACATAGAAGAGGAAGAGAGTTCTTCTCACCGCCACACATAGTCATCTCAAGTGGTACCTAGTGCAATGGACACTTACAAATCTCCATTTTCTATCCCTATCTCATTTTAATGAATTTCCTTTTATTCTATTTTCTCTTGAATATTATCTCTCATCCTTAATGTGATTTTCTTTCACCGGGACGGTGCAAGTTAAGTTTGGGGGGAGTTTTATTATGTACTAATGCATTTTTCTTTCTTTTCTTATGTTTTATTTAATGTTTTCTTGTTTTATTGAGTCAAAACCAGTCTGAAAATTATGAACTGGCTTTGAGATTTGATAAAAGAAGATTTCCCCCTTTGTTTTTGTTGTGGGTCGCGCCTCACCGCAGGCACTGAATGAATGAAATGAGTGGAATACTTGCGGCTCGTGAAGTACTTTGTGTTTGATGTTGAGGCCCCTATTGGTGAAGCGACTTTTGGAGAGCAGAAGTATGCTCTCTCCTATGTTCAGATCGCTAGAGAGTCTGATATTTGGAAGATGTTTTACGTGCAGACTCATCTTGGTCACATATTGAAACCTGGGGATCAAGCTTTAGGGTATGATGTTTATGGAGAAAATGTGAATGATAATGAGATGGAGAAGTATCGTTTGAGTGTGAAGAATGGTCTTCCTGAGGCGATTCTGATCAAGAAGTGTTATGATGAGCAGAGAGAGAGGAAGCAGAGGAAGACACGTACGTGGAAGATTAAGTCGCTTCCGATGGAGATGGATGAGTCAAGAGGAGGAAGGGGTGGTGATCCGGATAAGATGATTATTAACTAATTACATTGAAAATGTAACAACACAAAGATCTAAAAATTCTAATTTATACCATTTATGATATGAATGATAGTCTTCTAGTTCGTTTGTACCATCTAAATCATAGCGGTTATCCTAAATGATAGTCTTCTAGTTCGTTTGTACCATTTATGGCTAAATATCTTCAAATTTAAAATTCACATTTAACACACTTACAAATAATGTGAAACATAATATGCTTTTCTTCAATTGATAGCCCCAATGTGACAACGTGGAAACATACGAGCAATATTTCCGGATCATCAAAGTTTCCGGTCACTGGGATTGTTAGGGATCATGGAGGTGAGAAGAGCAGCCAGCCCACGATAAGATCAATGGATGGAAAATTTCCATATTCAGAAACATATGTCAAACTCATTAAACTTAACATTTCTCTTTTACTAATCTTGACTCTCTGTACTCTGTCACTTCTCAAATATATTATTCACATTTTTTGCTTATATTTTCACTAGTAAATGTTTTCTGCAACAATAAATTTACTAACTGAAAAAGTAAAAAAGTTGCAAAAAAATAAGCAAAAAAATGAGCAAACTATGAGCAAACTAATGTTTTTTAAATGACAAAATAATAATAATAGGTTGAGAATTGAAATTTTTTTGAACAAAATAGATGATTATGAAATAGTTTCATTGATTGAAAATGTAACAATCCAAAGATCTAAAAACTCTAATATATAGCAGTACTCCTAAATGATAGTTTTCTAGTTCGTTTCACTGATCATGGCTAAATATATTTCAACTTAAAAATAATGTGAAATATAATATGTTTTTCTTCAATTGATAGTCCCCAGGGTG